ATAAGGTCGAGAGCGCGGTTCAAGTATGGATAAAGCGCGCGGGCCACTTTGCCCCAGCCACTTGTTCAGGCTGTGTATGTGTGTTGTTTGTTGGCTGTGTGGTTCTGCACTATTGGCACAGAGGACAAAAACCACCATTGAAAAGCATTCATCTGATGGATCATATTCAAACCCTCCTTTTTCATTCCCATGGATGAATAACTGGACAATGGCAATGCAAGTAAGCAATGGGCTTATCTCGGGAGCCGTGACTAATGGCGGGATTTTCATGAGTAAACTTTGGCTGTCCAACTGTCAACTGATAAGCTTGCATCCCGAACCCTCCAGGGATGACGCATAGTCTGCCCGATCCGGGAACCCTGCCTCGGACTTTTTCGAATAGTAGTATCGTATCTTCCTTTTCCCTATCTTTGGGGAGCTTTTTTTTTGTTTTTGGTTTTCTTCCGTGTCCCCTCATAGTGTCTCCGGATGTCGTGTATCGTACATTCTTTAGTTTGTTCTTGCCTGCAGTGGCTGTTGTTGGTCTTGTGGTATTATCTATGTATGGTACTTGTTTGAGTAGTTATTGCAGGCGCCTAAGAGTCGGGATAGATAGGTACTTAGTTGTCTTGCCTCTTTCTCGATCAACGCCACGTCACATTGCTTTTTACCAAGAAGGATGCGCCTGACGATCAGCTCGATGGATGCAAGACAGATTCTAGTAGAAGAATGATGGCTCACAATGGGCTTGTTACTTATCAATTCGATAGGTGTCGGTGGCCATGGTGAGGCGATGGTAGACTACGTACTATAGTACTAGTTACTGTAGACAGTATACAATGATGATTCCCAAAAGAGAACTTAATAAAAAGAAATCCGGCATGACTCGAGACCCGTGATCCGGGAATTCAAGTCACGCTTTGGTCGGCGCTGTTTATCGCGTGGGTTTTATTCCTTTTCTGCATTGAACTTTCCTGCAATGGAAGGAGAGGATCGAGTCCACGCACGCCTTGTATTACTATTCCATTCATTCCCCTTCTTGTTTCTTTTCCTCTCGGGTCATCACTCTATCATTTAGTATTCTGCCCCAGCTAAGTATCGACTAAAGAGTTAGCTTCCCTCCTTCCGAACTCTAAGGACTATACTAGATTCCACTCTCCTCACTTTGGAAGACCCCCACTCCTTAACGGCTTTGAGAATCTCTTTCGCCAGGTTCCTCACTGTCGGAGCCGGCCTACGGGGCCGTTGCCACTCTCTTGGAGAAACCCCGGCCATTCATTCATCCTCCCAAGCATTCTCCTTTCGGGGCATTGGGAACCCTCTACTAGGCTGGTACTTCGTACCCATGGTCGAGCTTGGTTCCTCGGGTGCACTTTCTTTTTCGTATGCTCGTTCCTTTTGCTGGATGGCCGCTAGGAGCATGTGGTCCCATGTTCGGAATTGATTGTTATCATGGTGGAACTGGCACCATGACCACAGAGGAAAAGTACCTCTTCTTCCCTGGCCCCCCTCCCCTCCTTTAGGTTTCTGATTTTCTTTTCCCCGTTCTACAATCCCGGAATATACTACTATCGAATGGATCCTTCCAATAATACCGTGAATATCCCTTGCTGGGCGCTTGATAAGCCTCGTGTCCACCAGTGAGGTCCGCCACACTCCGCGCGACACTGTATCCCCCCCCCCGATATTGAGGTATCCCCTTTAGGTTTGATGTTTATTGATCTAATGACAATTTTTCTTGATTACCTGGAGCATTCTATTTCCTGTCAATCGATTTGCAATATTGGTTTCAGGGCTTACGCTTTCCTCCCATTTATACCCACCAATCCGTCTGTGGCCCGGACATTCTTTGTGACAGCCGCTTGCTGAAGCCCCGTAAAGAGACATGTCTGTCCTACTCGAGTCTGGCCAGGTGTAGGTACCCTGTGACTTTCGAATCCTTCCTTTCGCCGATATATTAGATGTCTGGTCCCGCCTGCGGGGAAGCGCCTGATCTTGGCCCGGATCGCCATGAGTTCGAAATGTCGGCGGCCATCACCTCACTCTGGTGGCCCGAAGATCGCGTGAAGGCCACCCTTTGTCCCGAATACGTCTTTAACCACCTACCTTCGAACATCTTGCACCGTCTCGTCAACCCCTTGCCTTGGGGAGAGGGCCTGACCAGCGAGTCTTACTTAGACTGGATCCTCGCCAAGGCCGGTAGAATCTTCCTGATCCTCGTGGATATCGGCATACCGGAGCGCATCTTTGCCCTGGTCGATGAATCATTAGATGACACGGATTTACCTTTGTCGGCACCGAGTACCACTCGACTTCCTTTCGCACCTGAAGGGGACAACGCAACTGTTGCCCACAAATTCTTTCTCGCTCAATGGCGGTTCACGGTACGCGGTATTAATGAAGGCGACCATATCAAATACACTCAGAACGAGGGTGTCCCGGTGGAGCTTCTTCGTACCGGAACGTCTCTAGTGAGAGAGGGCGTGGAGAAGGTTGTTCTAGCTGGCTCCAAATGTCGTGTGCTGTTGCGAACGCAAGTCTCTATTGGCGGCGCACCGCATTTCTTCGAGGAGAACGAGGTGTTGGAAGAAATCCGCTCTCTGAGAAGGCTAGCCCACGATCACGTCTACTCAATCTACGCCTCCTACTTTGTGGATACCACCGTTTGCATTCTTTTCTCGGGCGTTTACGAGCGAACCCTCATGTCATTCCTTACCGACGTGCCTCAACCTTTCAAGCGCCTCGCCAAGAACAAGCGTCGTGAGATATTAGTCAATTGGCCACATTGTCTGGCTAATGGACTGTCATGGTTGCATGCACATAGCCAGGCCCATAGCCTGATTTCTCCGTCGAACATCCTGGTTGACGCAGACTTTCGGATTTTCTTGGGCCAGTTCGAGGCTCTCGACACTCTTCTATCCCCACTCAAGCCGGACGACGTTGAAACCTACCAGTATGGTGCGCCCGAGCGATGGGTGCGCTCAGTCAGTATTCAAGACACAAGCGCACCAAGCCCAAACATTGCGCTCCCATCAGGGGGGCGTTCGGCTCGCAAACAGTCGTCCCGTCCAGCAATGCTGAGCTTATCTAGATTCAGGGGCTCTCAACCGTCGGATCAGGATACAGAAATACACGCGGAGTCTGTTACGTCGCAGGGGACTGCCATACGTATCGGCCTACGAGGCTCACCTTCTCGGATATCTTTCACCAACTCATCTTCCTCTGGATCAAGCGTTGGGAGCGCCCGCAAGCGCGTGGTATCCTCCATAAAACGACCGATGTTCTACACACCGTCCATCACTTCGTCCAACTCCAATTCTTCTAGATCATCAACCACTCCTTCTACTACTACATATGGCCAGTTTGGCTACCCAATCATCGGTTCCAACGCCGCAATCGTTCATACATGGCAAACACGCCAGTCAGATCCAGAAGCCTCGGACATATTCTCACTTGGAGCAGTATTTCTAGACATTTTCACTCATTTATGCAAGCGCAAGCTCTCTGCTTTTTCACACCACCGAGGGGCCAAGAACCGGACCGCTGGCCGCGGTGGCGGCGTCGCCGACTGCTCATTCCACCTCGACCGAAACGCCGGCCAAGTGAGCTCCTGGATCGCCCTACTGGACAACGACGCGAAGAAACACAAAGATCCCATCTTCCAGGCTGTTCGACCGATGCTCACCGTCGTGCGAAGCATGCTAAACAGAGAACCCATGAGCCGCCCATCTGCTTATCAGGTGGAGCAGCTTCTGGCCCACTCACTTCAGAAATTGGACGGAAGCTGTAGCCTCCACTGTACTTCCGACCTGCAAGTCCATGCCCCCAGGACCAAGAATCCACTCCGTCTAGGCGCACAAGCAGCCTCGTCAGCAGACAGACTCGTCGTCCCGCGAGCAAAGCCACTAGGGGCCAGATCCCCGTCTCCAAGTAGTCCAATGACTGCCGAATTCTCATCTACTAGCTCTGGAGGACCTGTGAGCCTCCGTCCCTCTCCTTCAGCCTCTGCGTCGAGTTTCAGTTTGCCTGATCAGCAATACACGGACAACTATATATATAGCAGCGACACAGACCAAGAGTACGACAAATACAGTACCTCTTCGTCGCCCGTCCCGTGGCGTGACCCAGATCATGGTCTAAGTCCGGCAGCACATAACGATCCGACATGGAATTACAGCATCGCTCTAGGGAAGCATTAGCCTTTGTTTATATATACCCGTTCCAAAGCGATAACCACTTGGCACTTGGCCCCTTCTCCTTGTATCATTGACATACTGCCCTCTCGATCAACAACCAGTCATTATCGCCGCATAACTGGTACAATACTAAGTACTACTGGCACTTTCCCTTCCACTCCTCTATTCTCATGCACTCCGCACATACTACTTGTACACAACGTCATGCCTTGTACATTCTAGGCTTTTCGGGTTCTTCCTCTGATACTATATACCTTTACACTTCATTTCTTTCTCAGGAGACTTGGCTTTTTATTTTTTTTTATTTTTTTCTCATATACTAATATGCCAGTCCTCCTAACGATTGATGACGAATGACCGCTTGTGATTGCTTTGGGTGATATCCTTATCTATTTCACTTATTTACCTTTCCATTTCACTTGTATTTAGCTTAGTCATTTAATCAAATTCTACTTTCTATGCATACACTTCTTCTGGTACATTTCCGTAATGAATATGAATACGCGTGAAAGATAAGAGGACATCACAAAGATAATAAATTCATTTCATAGTTCCGCCATGACTATCCAGTAGTAACTAACCCGCCATCCACGCCAATCCCTTATCCCACAAAACACCCTTGTATCCTCCAAAATCAAAATCAAATTCATCATCAGATCAGTCATAAAAATATAAACCCACACCAAACCTCAAACACAGATCAAGTAATAAGAAGTAGATGTAGAAAGTAAATGATAAGACCCCAATGGTGGATAAAAAAACCCGACTCGCCACTCGCATACTACTGTACTACTTAGTACATCTCACATGCATCTAACCAATCACCTACAACCACCACGCCACGCCCCCAATAACCACACAAAACAGAGCAGACACATCAAGACGGAACAGAAAGCCACCACCATTTCCAGCATGCATGGACGAAGCCCCGCTTGATGGACTGTAAGCGGCTACTCCGCTTGGGTTTGTACCTGAAGAGGGAGAAGACTGCTTGTTTGATACTGATTTCGAAGAATCTGCTCCTGACTCGGATGCAGTACCTGTGGTAGTTGCGGTGGCGGAAGCGGGAGAGGTAGCACCATCATCACCACCAGAGTTGTTATCATCATCATCAGCATGGACGAAGGCCTGGCCTATAGTTGGGAGCGGGGCGGATGGATCCACGGCCCATCCACCGTCTGTCGAGGCAGGGCATTCCGGAGGGGAGATAGCCGCGGTGGATTTGACATAGTCGGATAGAGCGACGCCGGTAGGGTCGAGCGTAGCCCACTGGTTCTTGAGGTTATCAAAGTCAGGTTGGATCGGGGTGGGTTCACCCTGGCGAGTGAAGCCGTCCTGGACGATGATGTTCTTGGTAGCGGTTGGGGGAGTGTCGGCGCCGGGAGGGCCATACTCGATCAGGCCGTAGTCGTTTGTTTCCTCGATCCATTCGTAGATCATAGCGCCAGACCAGGTGCCCGACATGTGGTCACCGAAGATGGCGGCCTGGTCGGAGAAGGTGCGGGGACGAGCTACGTTGCATCCTGTTTCGGAGAAGAAGATGGGGATGGGGTAGCCTTCTGCTTCATCTTGGAGGGTTTGGTAGCCGGACAGCTCGTATGAGGAGTCACCGCACCATTCGTAGGCGTTGAGGGAGAAGAAATCGAGTCGTTCGGCGGGGTCAGAGCGACAGGCTAGGTAGTTCTGCAGCATGGGGCGCAGTTCGGCGATGTCTGCGGCCGAATAGCCGACTGGGATGGAGCGGTAGTGCTGCGCATTGCGATAGGATTTGATGTCGCGGGCTGCGGCTAGCACGTAGGGGGCGGCGGCGGAGCCGTCCTTGGTGGTGAGGACTTCGTTACCGACGAAGACTCCGGCGGTGTTGTCGTATTTCTGGAAGGCGTCCAGCACGGCTTTGAAGCTGTCGAATTGGGATTGGTCCCAGTGGGGGTCGTCCTGTAAAATGGGGATGAAGTGGTTAGTATGGGTAAGGGTTTTGTTGGCGGCCTGATACGATGATGGGTCGGGTGATAGGTCACGAATAGGGTATAGATGGTGGTGGTGGTAAGTGCATACCTGGGAGATCGCGGTGTCGAACGTGTCGAGATCGACGAACAGGTAAATGCCTGCATCTGCGAAAGCTTTCATGCATCCGTCGTGGTTGGCTTTAGGGTCCACATGGTACACACGGATTGCATTGGTGCCCAACTCGGCCATGCGGGCGGCATCTCGCGTGCATTGAGCGGTGTCAATCAGGGGATCTTCGGGAATGAGTTGATAGGCGATGCCTAGACCATGGCGTGCGGGTCAGTGCGTGAGGAACTATCGTGGGTCGAATGGAGACACACGCACCTTTGATGTAGTATTGGGTGCCATCTTCGTAGAAGAATTTTGAACCAACCGCCGAGATGGTTTGTATGGCACTGGCGGTGGGGGCATGGAACGTGTTGAGCAGCAACGATAGAGCAGTTGCAGATGATGACCAGTGTGTTTTGACCATTGTCTTCTCGCAGTCCCTGCACGCGGCTTGGCTCTCTGCAAAGTAATCTGCGATAATAGATCGGGTGGGTACTCTGCAGTCTCCTTCCGGGGATTCAGACCGCTATCCTTATCCAAGGAGTGATAAAACACAGCGAATAGACCAGTCCAATGCGTCGGTATCAATTGAGTAAGACAGAGTGCAGAAGTGAGTGGAACACGCCAGCGAAACTGCCTGCAGCTGTCTGGACAGTGAATGTTGGAAGTTGTAAAGCAGGTAGATAAGACGACCCAGGGAATGAGAATGCAGAGACTTGCATGGACGAGAAAACACCTGTTCTAATATAACAGATGCACGAATAACTGTTGAAGTCACTCATCCCCCCAAGTATCTGCCTCCCCATCGTCCTGGCGCCCTGCCATACCAGAGATACCGTGTCTGCCCTGGAGGAGACATACTCGGGAGTGTTGTTGTAAGGAGCGTGACGTCAAAAAGAATCCTGCAGCTGCGTTAAACTCATTGTGGCTCTGAAGTAGACGAGAGAAGGAGAGGCAGTTCCAATCTCCGGGGAAGATGGAATGCAGCACGATCGAAGGGGGAACAGCTTAATGGATGCCAGGGTGCATGGGATCGACAACATGGATTGGATTGTTTATGCAGGCATTGCAACAAGGTTGTCGCGAACTATGTGAGTACCGCGTCGGAGATATCTGGGACACCACATTCAATAATGTTTGGGTTAAGCATTTTATCTGAATGGAACTCTGAACTTTGGTTACTACAAAGTATCTGAGTATGGGTACATTAACAATTCCGATCTACAAGATTCCAAGCAAATGTTCATGAGTGGCCTGGTTCCTGACCCAAATTGGCAATCCCCAGTCACTCACGTGATAATAGGGGTTTCGCACAACAAAACGTTTCCCGATTAGTCATGAATCGTTCCTTTGAAGGAAAAGGAGGAAGCGAGACAAGAGGGAAATGAGGTAATAAGTCCAGATTATTGCTACACAGTAAGTAGATAGACTGATACTAATTTTGCTACGGGAAATTAAAATTAAAATAAGACTGGAACTGAAATTGAAATTGCTTGTGTTTCTCGCCTGAAACCTGTAGGGCAGGGAGGGCCCGAGTGGATACTACTTAGCACTTATGGTGTGGTAGGAATTGTGTGTCGCAATTAAATCATCCGGTTTGATCGCCTGGGCTGAACAGACGATTAATCTCTCAAACGATAGTGGCTAATAAATCTGAGGAGGGGGCAAAAGAAGTTGGGTAAGAAGCTACTATTAATATGTATGCTATGATTTTTTGTCAAGATATGCTGGGAACATGGCCCTGGGTGGACACGATCCAGCGATGTCAGGAGGAACCTGACCAGTTGCAAGCCATCGCCCGGGATTGCCCGCCCCCTTATTGCTGGAAGTGTTCTGCTTTGGGCTCTCCGGTCTCGCCCAAAGCACGAGGAGCGATGGGTCTTGGCAACGATCGAGACCCTGGCTGGGCCCACCGCCTAAATAATTAGGATCATCTGGAGATGGGGTCTGTTCTCTGCTAGTTACCGTTACTCTTCGGCCGCTTGACGTAGGATGCTGTTGAGATTTTCAAAGAAAATAAATATTAATTAAATAAGGAAAAATTCTGAAAAAGCAACAGAAATAAAAGTAGGCAACGTAGACAGCCTCTTCGTTGTAAAACAATAACTATATCCCCCCATCCTTCTTGGGGGTTGGAAAAAAAGGAGATGCAAGCAGAGAGTTACAAGCAATCGACTAGTGAAAGACGGATCGTCACCGGCTTGCGTGGATGACGGGGCCTCGTCTGACTGGGGCTTCCTTTTCCCGCATGCGTGCCATTTCCCTTTCCAAGGAATCTCCGCCAACGCTTTCATTTCATTTCCTCCTTTTCCCTTTTCCACACCCCCCTCCCCTCTTTTTTCTTTTTCTTTGCCCGTTTCTGACGTGCTGGGGGGTTTAAACTCATACTAAAGTAGATATATCTACAATTCCCATTGTCCCTCCTCCCCTCCCCCCCTTCTTTTTCTTCTTCACCTTATCTACCTACTATCCACCCTCTTACCACACCTAATTCCTCACCAACACACACTCCATCCTCGTCTAATCTGGTCTGGATCATGCTATCCGTGGTTCTCCCGTCTTTCAAATTCGCCCTCTTTGGAAAGCTTCTCCGCCCACTTGTGCCTCGTTTGATTGGCTCGGACTAGTCGTTTCGTGTTTCGCCCAAATTCAACCCTGTTGTGCCTCCCCGGTGCAACGTCATCCTTATTCGCATATTAGTCGTCGGATTGCTATTTTTGTCTCCATCGCTATATATTACCGTCTCCATAATATATTCCCACCTCTTTCATCGTTACGGTCTATCCGTTGCGCAATTAAGCGGTTGACCGCAACATGTCCACCACCAGCACATATTCCCCATTTCGCATCTCTCCCCGGGATCGCGCCAATTTGGATCGCAATGAGGCTTTTAGGCTTGTGAGGGAGCATCTGAGGCGCCAGGAACTGGGCATGAAGGCTCCTAGGTACGTGTTTTCAACCATCAATAAAACAAATCCGCGGTCAAATATCGTAGCTAATATATCGGCTATAGCTTTTGTGCCGAGCATCGCCATGATACCCCCAGTCAAGAACAGGAAACCTTCCGCCTTCATCGCGATATCATCCACACCATCCTCCTCCCTCTGTTCCTGCTCCACCATCAAGCCTCGCGTATCGCAACCAATGTGCTGCCACGCCACAAAGGCGCGGAATGCGAACGGGCGTTCCGTGGTGAGGCGCGTGGTGCTTATGCTTGGCTGCATTCCATTCTGAGCGAAGAGCATGATTGGTATTTGACCGAGCGCTGCCCCGCCTGTATCGTTCTGCACGTTATGAACTCGGAGCCGACCATTCGATTTGTCGCCGTGGCGTGTCTCCTGTCAGACCACTTGCAGGGTCTGGACCTCCCGAGCGCCAAGAGACGGCTGCCTAACTTCGACTTTTGGTACGAATCGCTGGAGAATGCCGTCCGTGAGGATACGTTTTGGGGCGAGGGCTTCTGGCCGGACATCGAATATCGCGCCTGCGCCTTGACCGATGGTGTGAAGCAGCTGGTGCTGCAGTGCTTGGAGCTGCAGGCTGCTCTGGACCGACACGACCTGCAGCCCGAGGAGTCGTACCGACCGACCCAGCGCTCTCGGAATGACTCGTCACGGCCGTCCGTTACGGTGAAGCAGTCCAGCTGCACGCCGCTCCCTGTCATCGACGAAGAAGACCAGAAGCTCTTTTCCAAGGCCGGCGCCAATCGCGGCATGCATCCCTGCCGCAGTGAGCGGCCGCAGAGATTTCACGCTCGCCGCCATGGTGACCCTCGCAGAAGATCGGTGACATCTTGAGTGATCGCAAGGGTGCTTGTGTCAAGCGACCAAGCTGGAAAAATAATCTAAACAGACTACCCGTCGTGGGTCTAGTCGCCAACGGTCTGGAATCATCCTGCATCGGGATGCCCGATCTGCCGCCGAAATTAGGAATCGGCCCACTGACGTGAGTTGCAAACTTATTGCAACCACACCTCAGTGAAACTATCTACAGTCCCGAAGCAAGTAGGTGCGCATTAAGCCTAGACGTGCCACCGAAGTTTCAATGCCCGCGTACTTCCTCTTGCAGAAACTCACGGACATCCCCCGGTGGATGTAACGTCGAGGACTGCTTCCGCGGAAATGCCTACCGTTGTGCATGCGTGTGTGGCTTGAGCAGAATTTGTCCAGATCGTGCAATCCTGTAAGCCATTCGCAGCAAGGGGGCAAAAGACGTGGTTCGGGGGCTGAGGTTATTGTGAGGACAGCCACGGTTAGAGTGTGGAGGCAAATAGCCTCACGAGGCGAATCCGGAAGGATGAGGTAGTTCTATTCTACTGTATATACTTTTGATGGACGAGAAGAGCAATACATGCACAAACATTATCATTGAACCTATGTCAGTCATACATTGTAGAACTGTAGCAGAATCCGACACAGACCCGCCCACACATCAGTCAACTATCCAACGTAAGCCATCTGACACTGACATAAACACTAAACACAAAACAAAACACGCAATCCAAGTCGATCAAACACACAATGACAACGTTCTGTAACCAACTATCTACCTCCCTACTATGTACCTAACACAGCTAGCTGGCTGGCTGTAAGATTGGCAGTCCCTCTGGCTAGCTGACAAGACAAGAAGAAGAAGGCAAGGGAGGTAAGTCAAAAGTGGGGAACTTGATGCATGCATGTTGTCTGTCTGTTCTATTCAGCAAGCCATGAAAACAAACAAATATAATTGTTGTCTCTCTTTTCTTTGCCCCGTTTTGCCCCTCTATTATGTATCCCCACTGCATCAACAACAAAAAACAAAAACAAAAACAAAATAAAACATAATGATGAAAAGACAAATACAAACAAACCTGTTTTGGTTTTTGTTTTCAGACCTTTGTATATCTGAGACATGATGAAGTGGATTCAATTGTGTGGTGGTGAACTAACTTACGTACGTACGAATGTGCCGTGTTTTCCCCACATTCTACTACCGCTAAGTATCTGGACTAAGTTGTTAGGTGCTTTTGGTTGGTTGGTAGATTAGATTAGTTGGGTTAGTTGGTTGGATTACTCCGCGATGGCGAAGGAGGAGAGAAGTGGAGGGGAGGGGGTAGGAGGGGAGGAGAGGGGTGGCGGCAAATTCGTATTCTTTCTATCTTGACTCTTTATCCATCTGGGACTAGTAGACGAAATAGGTATCTGGTGAGGGTTTTGGTGTGTGTGGAGATAGGGATGGCAATTATCTTATCGCATCTAGATTCGTTATGGACATTGGATATGGTGGGTTATGGGTTATGTGGCACGGGAGAGTATATCTGTCCGTCTATACCATGTCTATCCTATTACTTTACTTCAATCATTCTGTTCTCTGGTAGAGGAGATTGAAGGATGATGATGATGAATCTGGTCTCTTAATCATTCGATCCTCTGGTTGAGTAGATTG